TCGCTTTGTCAGCTGCCCCACCCTGATGAAATCTTCTGGCAGATATGCAGCTGAAGCCTGGAAAAGGTGAGTTTTCATCATGGTATATTTTGACCTTTTCTTGACAGGACACAGGTGAGCCATTGGATGTGCCAGCTTGGGAGTGAAGTTTTGGTCTAGCAAAACGTTGGAGCTGTGGAAATTAAAGCAAAGAGAACCCTCTCATTTTGAGCCGGACAAGAGGAGGTTGCCATGAAGTTCCTTTTGGAAAACAGCTCAGTAGTTAGTGAGCAATGTCAGCCCCTGCAAGTTTGAGCCACTGAAGACCCTCAACATGGAGCTTCTAGCCAGTCCTGACAAGGGCAGGTAGGGCATGAAGCTCACCCCATCCAGCAAATGAGGATAAGACTAAGAACCAATCTTGCTGCCCCAAAAAGGGCATTCAGTGTGGCCAAAGAGGTCATTCTCTTTGACCCCCACAGCTGTCAACCCTGATCCACCTCAGCCTGCCAATCTCATTGGTTGTGTTGGGTGGGTCCCTTCCAAAGCTTCTGCAAACCCCAGCCCTGACCCAGCTGACTCAACTCTAAATGACTTTAATCCTTTGTGATTAAACCTGCCAGATCAGGAGGAGTAAAAAGAACAAGGAAAAAATGCTTTAACCCAGTCACCTGAGCCCCAGGAGTTAAATCTCAGAAAGTACATACTTCAAAAAGGAAAAACAGCTATATGTATAAAAATATTCAGTGTAGCACTAACCACAAATAGGTTTTTTTCTTTTTCTTAAAAAAAAAAGTAGACACCAATATTAATATTTACTATTACCCAAAATAAAGAAAAAACTCATTGTCAGTCACTCAGTTTTACTCAGGGTATGCCCATGTGTTACAGAGTAGAACTGAGCACCATAAAGTTGTTTTGGCTATAATCTTTTTTTTAAATTTGCTTTACTTTTGGTGCAAGTTTACACAGCAAATTAGGTTCCCTTTAGGAAGACAGGGCAATCTACTTCCGTAAAGATTTACTAACTGGGAAACCCAAAGGGGGTCGCTATGAGTTGGGATTGACTTGATGGCAATGAGTTTTTTTTTAAATACATATTGCTCAGTGTTATTAGTTACATTTTTCACAATGTGTCAGCACTCTCATCATTTCCATTCTGGTTGCTCTGTTTCCATTAATCTAGCTTCCCTGCCCTTTCCCCCTCTTGCCTTCTCATTTTCGTTTTAGGGTAAGGATATATGATCCCATATAGATGATTATTTAAAAGGAACACTGAACCACTGAGACTATGGCCCCTAGTTGCCCTTCAGGTCTGGAATTGAACCCACAACTGTGGTTTCCAGCCAAACAAAGTACAGGCATGTG